CCAGAAGTCATGTAGGAGACTCTGAAGTCACCTGGAAGAAGGTTCTTTGGTCTGATGAGAATAAAATCGAGCTTTTTGTCCATCAGACTAGATGCGATGTTTGGCGATTTGGGGGTGAATACTAATGCAATTGATTTTTTTCACATTTTATCTTTATAATTAATTGACATTGTTTGTAAAAATCCATGTTGGGTTGACATGAAAGAGATTTTATTTGTCAATTCTTGTCCAAAAGCCACTAAATTGCTCATGATTCAAACTTAAAAGCAGTAAAAGGAACGCTGTGCATGTGGTGGAGTCTGAGCCCAGAGGTTCTAACATTTAAACGTCCATCGGCGGCTGCCGGCGCTGGTCGACGTGCTGTAACAGTCGCTCAGATTACATCTCAGTACAGTCGGACCGCCGCTCACACTCGTCTTTGTGGTTTCGCTGCTGCTCTGTCAGCGCCGCCGTGCAAACGAGAGGTTTCTGTCTTTCTGTCCAACCTCAGATGAGGCAGCAGGAGGAAGTGGAGAAGAAGGCAGAGGTTGCCATGGAGATGTCTGACCTGGTGGTCTACTGTCAGCCACGCAGCAAAGAGAAGGACCGCTTCGGTAAACACACGCTGACGCACAAACCAGCACAAACCGTCCTGCAGCGGCTGCACTTTAAAACCAGACAGTCCAGAAACACCGTCTGGAGAGTTTTACACAATGAACCAGCCGTTAGCTCCAGAGAAGCTCTGTAGACACACTGTGCTTTGTGTTCTTATGATCGTATTGTTGTTGTTGTCGTCATTTTGTGTCTCTTTGTAGTTGTTCTGGGTCTTTTTGCTGACATTTTGTGTCCTCCTGTGATTTTTTTGTGTGTTTTTATGGACAATTTTTGTCTTTTTGTGATTGTTTTCTGTGTCTTTGAGGTCATTTTGTGTCTCTTTGTAGTTGTTTTGTTTGTTGTTGTTGTCATTTTCTGTTTCTTTGTGGACGTTTTTTTGACTTTTTGTAATCGTAATGTGTTTTTGTTGTCATTTTGTGTCTTTTTTTCAACGTTTTGAGTCCTGCTGTGGTTTATTTTGTATTTCCACAGACATATTTTGTCTTTTTGTGATTTTTTTCTGTCTCTTCGAAGTCATTTTGTGTCTCTTTGTAGTTGCTCTGGGTCTTTTTGCTGACATTTTGTGATTTTTTGTGTGTTTTTATGGACAATTTTTGTCTTTTTGTGATTGTTTTCTGTGTCTTTGAGGTCATTTTGTGTCTCTTCGTAGTTGTTTTGTTTGTTGTTGTCGTCATTTTGTGTCTCTTTGTGGACGTTTTTTTTTACTTTTTGTAATCGTAATGTGTTTTTGTTGTCATTTTGTGTCATTTTGTCAACGTTTTGAGTCCTGCTGTGGTTTAGTTTGTATTTCCATGGACATATTTTGTCTTTTTGTGATTTTTTTCTGTCTCTTCGAAGTCATTTTGTGTCTCTTTGTAGATGTTTTGTGTCTCTTAGTGGAAATTTTTTGACTTTTTGAACTTGCATTGTGTGTTTTTGTTGTCATTTTGTGTCTCTTTGTAGTTGTTCTGGGTCTTTTGTCGGCTTTTTGTGTCCTGCTGTGACTTTTGTGTGTGTTTCTATGGACAGTTTTTGTCTTTTTGTGATAGTTTTCTGTGCCTTTCAGGTCATTTTGTGTCCCTTTGTAGTTGTTTTGTGTTTCTTTGTGGACATTTTTTTGACTTTTTGTAATCGAGTTGTGTTTCTGTTGACATTTTGTGTCTCTTTGTCGACATTTTCTGTCCTGTTATGATTTTTTTTTCTGTATGGACAATTTTTTGTTTGTCTTTGAGGTCATTTTGTGTCTCCTTATAGTTGTTTTTTGTCTTTTTATAAACATTTGCGTCTTGTTGTGGTTGCTTTGTGTCTCTTTGTGGACATTTTTTGACTTTGTAATAATACTGTGTGTTTTTGTTGTCATTTTTTGTCTCTCTGTGGACGTTTTGTGTTTTGTTTTGGTTGCTTTTTGTTGTTTTGTGTGTCTTTGTAGACATTTATTGACTTTTTATAATGGTATTGTGTGTTTTTGTTGTATTTTTCTGTCTCCTTGTATTTGTTTTGGATCTCCTTGTCGACATTTTGTGTCTGTGTTGAAATTTTGTGTCTCTACATAGTCATTTTGTGTCTCTTTGTGGAAATTTTTGTCTTGTTGTAATTGTTTTCTGTCTCTTTTTAGATCATTTTGTGTCTCCTTGAAGTTGTTTCGAGTCTTTTTCTGGTTATTTTGCTTCTCTGTGAACATTTTTGCACCGTTGTTATCATTTAATGTGTCCTTGTGGTCATTATGCATCTCTTTGTGATCTTTTTGTCTCTCTTTTAGTTACTTTGGACGTTGTTGTGGACATTTTGTGTGTTATTGTGGCTGCTTTGAGTTCGTTTGTGGACTTTTTTGTCATTGTTTTCTGTCTGTGTAGTCAATTTGTGGACATTTTCTGTCCTTTTGTGGTTGTTGTGCGTCTCTTCGTGATCATTAATCCACGATCGATCAGTTAGATTTGTTTGGAGAGAACAACAGACGCACAAACCCGACGCCTCCATCGCACATCGCTGTCTGGCTGCAGAGCTTTGAGCTGCAGCGCCTCGTCTTGTTCAGCGAGCAGCTACCTTCGCTGCTCTTTCACCGCAACAAGGTGGTAAACAAGCAGGAAGTGGCAAAAGGAAAAGACCTAAATGCGACAGTGCTTCCTGTGTTACACGTTCTAAATCTGGAGATGAGCTGAGCGACTCTGAGACCAGAAATCCTGCATCAGAGCGCCGGTTCGTCTGCACAGTTGTTCTCAGTCGCTGCTCCCTAAACAACACAAACCTCTGAAACGTTTACAGCGTACAAGGACTGATCAATAAGACGTTTAGTGTGTTGTTGTCGCTGTTTTGTGTCTCTGTTATTGTAATGTGTCGTCCTGCCACCGTTTTGTGTCTGTTTATGGTTGTTTTGTGTCTTTTTGCAGTCATTTTTTTGTCTGTTTTTCTCTGTTTTGTGTCTCTCTGGGCTTGTTTTGTGTTATTTTGTTGTCCTTTTGTGTGTCTTCTTGTCATCGTTTTGTATTTTTTTGACATTTTGTGGCTGTTTGTGTCTTTTTTTGTTGTTGATTGGCGTCTCTCTGTGCTTGTTTTGTGCCTTTGTAGGCATTTGATGTGTTATTATGGTCATTTTGTGTCTCCTTGATGTCATTTTGTGTCTCTTTGTAGTTGTTTTTTTGTCTTTTTGTCATCCTGTTGTGTCTCTTTGTCGTGTCTTGTCATCATTTTGTGTCTCTTTGCGGATGTTTTGTGTCTTAATCAGTTGTTTTGTGTCTCTTTATGGTCACTTTGTCTCTGTTTGTGGTTATTTTGTTGTCCTTTTGTGTGTCTTGTTGTCATCTTTTTGTGTTTTGTGGGCATTTGGTCTCTCTTTGTAATCATTTTGTGTCTTTTTTGTCGTTGGTTGATGTCTCTGTGCTTGTTTCGTTTCTTTGTAGGCATTTGATGTGTTCTTACGGTCATTTTGTGTCTCCTTGTACTTGTTTTGTGTCTTTTTACACTTATTTTATGTCTCGGTGCAGTTTCTTGGTCTTAACTTTATGTAAATGTTTCAAAACTTTGCGTCTCTGTGGTTGTTTTGTGTGTCTTTGTAGATGTTTTGTGTCTTAATCAGTTGTTTTGTGTCTCTTTATGGTCATTTTGTCTCTTCTTGTGGTTATTTTGTTTTGTTTTGAGTGATTTTGTTGTCCTTTTGTGTCTTGTTGTCATTATTTTGTGTTTTGTGGACATTTGGTATCTCTTTGTAGTCATTTTGTGTCTTTTTGTGGTTGTTTTTTGTCTCTTTGTAGCTGTTTTGTGTCTTTTTGTGGTTGTTTTTTGTCTATGTGTAGCTGTTTTGTGTCTTTTTGTCATCCTGTTGCGTCTCTCTGTCGTGTCTTTTCATTATCTTGTGTCTTTGTTGATGTTTTGTGTCTTAATCACTCATTTTGTGTCTCTTTATGGTCATTTAGTTTCTCTTTGTGGTTATTTTGTGTGTCTTTGTAGATGTTTTGTGTCTTGTGGTTATTTTGTGGATCCGTGGATCTTTATGGATATTTGTTGTGGTAGTTTTGTGGATCTTGTTGGACATTCTGTGTCTCTTTGTGGACATGCATGACAGTCCAGGTTGTTTTATCTCAGTAACTGCTCCAAGAACAGGACTTCTTCTTTACACTCAAACACTCCACACAGCCCTCTGAAGCAGAACACACTGACAGTATAAAAGGATTACCGTCCGTACAAAGATGCACCGCTCCCACTGCTCCTGCAACACAACGCATTTCCCTCCCGAGTAACTCCCCTGTTCTGTGTCTGTAGAGTCTTACAACTACAAAGAGATCCGCTCCTTCGTGGAGAACAAGATTCCTGGAAAGAGTCGCACCAAAGACTTCCTGCAGTACAACCGCAAAGCTCTGAGTCGCATCTACCCCAAAGGCCAACGCGTGGAGTCGTCCAACTACGATCCATACCCACTGTGGGCCGTCGGCTGCCACATGGTGGCTCTCAACTTCCAGACTGCAGGTAAAGTGGTTTTATCTGGGCTGAAATGTTGGAAGTCTGTGTTTATAGCAACAACTGTATTTCAAAATGAAAGTAGCTGTGACATTACCTGTGTTGCAAGATGCAGTTTTGTACACAAAGAAGAAGTACAGTATGGTACAGTCACCCTTCTTGGAAGCATTTCATTATATCGCTTTGTAACATTGAGTCACGCTGGAAGTTACACAGTTTGTGAAATGTAGATCATCTGGGTGCCGTGAATGTGTGTCAGTGATTGTCATATAAAGACTCCTGTATCTGGAAGGTCCAGTCACTCCTGGATAGAACTACACCATGAAGGCAAACGAACACGCCAAGAAACTCTGTGGAAAGGTTTTTCAAAAGCATCAGTCAGGAGATGATGTCCAGGTCACTGAATGTCTTAAATCTGGACTGGAGTTCACCAGAAGTCATGTAGGAGACTCTGAAGTCACCTGGAAGAAGATTCTTTGGCCTGATAAGACTAAAATTAATTATGAAGCACGGTGGTGGCAGCATCATGATGTGAAGCATGGTGGTGGCAGCATCATGATGAAGCACGGTGGTGGCAGCATCATGATGTGGGGTTCTCTGTAGTTGGACATGGAAGGCTTGTAAAAGTAGAAGGTAAAATGAATGCAGTAAAGTCTGGAGAACTCCTGGAGGACAACCTGATGCAGTCTGCAGGAGATCTGAGACTTGGAGAAGATTAGTTTTCCATCAAGACAATGAGCCGAAGCTCCACAGAAATGGTTTAATCACAACAATGTGAATGTTCTGGAGTTGCCAAGTTAAAACTCAGACCTCAGTCCAACTGAGATCTAAAAAACTGAGTCACTGAGCATGAAAGAGCCTCCTGAGGGAGGCCACCAAGACCCCATGACTCCTTTAAAGGAGTTAAAAGCTTGACGCCAGACGTCTTGTGGATGTCGTTGCGCTTTTGACAAGTTTTGATCCTGTGTCCACTCAGATAAATACACCCAGCTGAACAGCGCCCTCTTCAGTCTGAATGGATGTACAGGCTACGTGCTGCAGCCGGAGCCGATGCGATCCGACAGCTACGACCCTTATCAGGAGAAGAGGAAGGTCAAGTACAACATCAGGGTCAAGGTATGTCCCACACCGTCGCCGTAGTAACCTGGCTCGTGTTACTTCAGGCTCTAGTTTAACGTATTTTTTTTCCTGACATGTTCCCGTGTTTGTCCTCGGCAGGTGATCGCTGCCAGACACCTTCCTAAACCCGGCCGGAGCATCGCCAGTCCGTTTGTGGAGATCGAGCTGTGTGGACACACCGAGGAGAAGTTCAAAACCATCGTCTACCGTAAGAAATGAAACTGATGCTGTTCACTGAGCGGTTCTGAAAATAACTGCTGGATTAAACTCAGACAAGACAAACTCCTCCAGCAGCGGCATCCCCTCTCTCTAGGAATACAGGATTTATAATGTACATGTGGACTCAGACTTTACTTGCTAATTGTGCTTATGAAATGAAAAAATGACTATGAAATATAACCTGGTGTCTAAAATATAAAACTGGTGTTACAGAAAAAAAGTGGTATAAAATATAACAAAGTGACAGGAAAGTAATATTTGATTGGGGTAAAAAATACATTAAAATTGGTGGTAAAATTAAAACCTACCTTATAAAAGTCATTTTAATCCTTTATGTCTTTGAAATAGGACTTGATTTTTTTTTTCAGGTATTTTAGAGATGATAAATTGTGAAACACCAAGAAAAAACATTCACATTTTACCTGGAAATGTTTTAAAATTTCTTTCCAGGTATTTTCTAAATGATAACTTTAAATTTGTATCTTTAAAAAAAAAAATTTTTTCTCCAGGTATTTTAGAAATGATAGGTTGCACATTACAAAATATCATTTTTTTGATGTATTTTACAAATAATAATTTGTACATTTTAAAATGTAAATTTCTTTCCAGGTATTTTCTAAATGGTAATTTCTAATTTGTACATTTAAAAAATATACTTTTTATATTTTGTAAATTGTAATTTGTGCATTTTGAAATACTATTTTCTTTCCAGGTAGTTTAAAGTGATCATTTGTACATTTTTAAAAACCTGCTTTTCAGCTACGTTTCAAATAATGATTCATCAATTGTACATTTTGAAAATGTAATTGTAGTTTGAGGTATTTTCTAAATGATCATTTGAAATTTGTACATTTAAAAAAAAAAATAAAAAATCTAATTCTCCAGGTATTTAAAAATTAGAATTTGTCCATTTAGAAATATTATTTTCTTTCCAGGTAGTTTTAAATGATCATTTGTAAATTTAAAAAACAAAAAAAAGGCTTTTCAGGTATGTTACAAATAATAATGAATACTTTGTACATTTTTAAGTCTTCATGTTTTTTCCACATATTTTACAGATCATATTTCAGATTTCCTCCACAGTCCACTCATGTGGTTGTTGAAGTGATAATTGTCTTTGTGGGTGATGTTGAGAACCTTTAACCTTTGTAGAAACTCCGTAGAACCGGGAACCTTTGAGGCTGCGTTAGTTCCTGGAACTACAACGTTTCGGGAACTGCGTCTTCAGGTTTCGTGGTCGTGCCGATAACCTCCGGCTGAATCTTTGCCTGTTTTCTGCAGGTGACAACGGCCTGAACCCGGTGTGGAAAACCCCGGCAGAACCGGTGGAGTTCACCGTGTACGAGCCTGAGCTCACCTTCCTGCGCTTCGTGGTCAACGAGGAGGACATGTTCTCAGACCCCAACTTCCTGGCTCAGGCCACGTTTCCCGTCAAAGGCCTCCGCTCAGGTGGGAAGTGACACGAAGCTCTCGAAGGCCTCAGTCTGAAACCAGAGCACGACTTCATTCGCTTTGACACTTTTTATTTCAACTCTGACTCAGATTTCCGCATTAAGCTGCTGTTTGACGCCTGCTATGAATACTTTCACCCAGTTCAGACACGTTTACCTGCACACACAGTAACAGCAGCAGCTCCTCTCCTTTGATTTAGAATTAAATATCACAGTGAACATCTTTTAGTGTTTAGTAGTCGATAAAACTAAATATCAGCCAGACAGTCTGATCTACGTGATCACATCATGATAATTTAACACATTCAGTGTCTCACCTGCCTGCATGAAGGACTACGGAGCCCCAAAGGGTTTAATCATAAATAAATGTAAAAAAAAACAAACAAACAAAAATAACCTCATAAAATTAATAGTAAGAAAAACACATAAATAATAAAAATGTAACTAACAATTTTTCACGTAATTTGTAATTTTTTTTATCCTGAAATATGCTTTTATAACATAACTTTTGATATCTTTTTTTTAAATTCATGCATTGTGAAATAAAACAAACTGAAATCAAAGACTTGCAAAAAGTAAACTGTTTTTTAAAAAAGTGGCATTATGAATAATTTGATGGAGAAAACGACATTTTAAATATAAAAGCATCATTAAAATATATATTTTTAAAGTTGTATTAATAAATAGAAAAAGTTATGATACTAAGTTTAAAAAAAAAAAGAAGCTAATTGAGTCAAGATAATTCGAATTTAAAAATAGAAAAAGTAAAAACAAAGTAGAATCATGAAATAACGATTTTTAATGAAAAAGCAACATTACGAAAACTAAACACAAAATTGACATCAACCATTTTTAAA